TCATCTATCTATCTATCTATCTATCATCTATCTATCTATCTATCTATCTATCTATCTATCTATCTATCATCTATCTCTATCATTATTTATCTGTTATCTACCTATGATATATATACTTTGATCCAATCTAAACATATTTAACATTTTGATTACATAAATAAATCATGTTTACTGTAAATCCAGTGGTTGGGAGTAGGGGTCATGATTTTGCTCCCCAGAAGACATTTGGCAATGTCAGGAGATACCTTGTTTGTCACAATCGGAGGATGCTATTGATATTTAGTGGGTAGAGGCCGATGATGTTGCAAAACATCCGAAAAGACACTGGATGGCCCCCACAATAAAGAATAATCTGGCCCCAAATGTAACTAATGTCACTAGGGCTAAGATTGAGAAATCCTGCTGTAGAACAATAGAAAATTCAAAGAAGCAAATGGAAAATTATTGCTTCTGGGCATTTTCCCAATTAGCATTTTGGCCAAATTCTTCCAGTTGGCTTTTTGTACACACAAGTGTATGTGGGAATAATTACAGATATATAGGGGGGAAATGTGATTATAATTATGCATGCTGTTTTATAACCTGATTTTTTTCACTTAATGGTAATATTGCTCCATGTCAGTAATTTTTCTTATTGAAAAATGAGTTTTTTTTTTTAAACAAAAGCATTACATTTATGTGGCTAAAAATAAGAATTGCAAAAGGGTATGCAAGAAAAACATGTTCTTTTACAAGTGGTTATGGATACTTTAGTAAACATGATTCTTAAAAAGCCACAAATTGGATTATGCAATAAAATGCTGTATACTTTGCTTTTGTTACTTAATAATATATCTTAGGGCAATTTCCATATTGACACAGAGATCCACCCCATTCTTTAGACTGGTGCATAGCATTACCTACTACCCTATTGATGGATACTTAGCTCTTTCCATATTTTTGCTGTTCTACTCAGTGATGCAGAACGTTTTGCACACCACCTCTTAGTAGATTCTTGGGAGTACACCCCAAGAATTGGAACTGGTGAATCAAAAGGTACACACTGACATTTTTGGCAGCTATTGCAAAATTACTCTACAAAGAGCTTGTCTCATTTACCTCTCCCACTGTCTTCGTCCCCATAGCCTCATCCATAAAATATTTAAATTTTGCAAATCTGATTTAATAAAAATGATATCTAGTTGTTTTTTCATTTGTATTTCTTTAGTTATTAATAAAGTTGTGCATTTTAAATGCTTTTTTCCCATCAACTGTTCATTTCCTCTACCCATTTTTTTTTTCCTCTATTGGGTTATTTTTTGAGTTGTTGACTATTGTGACCTCAGTGGATTTAAGGAAAGTAGCCATACATCTATAAATACCTTCTCCTGGTTTGTCTATTCCCTTGTAGAAATTTACATTTTTTATTTATACAAAAAATTTTTTTAAATCTTCCCATTTATGGTGTCTGGATATGCTATACTACAAAGGCCTTTCTCTCTCTCTCTTTTTTTTTAAGATTTTATTTTTAAGTAATCTCTATACTTAACCTAGGGCTCGAACCTATAACCGCAAGATCAAGAGTTCCATGTTTTTCCACCTGAGCCAGCCAGGCGCCCCATACAAAGGCCTTTTTCGTGCCAAGGATATAACTAAATTCATCCATGTTTCCTTCTTTTATGGTTTCATTTTTTTATTAAAAAAACTGTCTTAAATTTATTTTAGGAGTAAGGACAAAAGGTAGCTACTCAGACCTGAGACCATTCATCGAATCCTTTATTTCATCCCTCTAATCTGAAATGCACCCTAACCATAGTCTCTATTTCTTAGGTATTTGGAGGCTACTTCTGGACTTTCTGTTCTGTTTCAGGGATCAGTCCATTTTTGTACTGACACCAAACTGTTTTAATTACTGATGCTTTATAATGTGTTTTTAGATACAATAAGTCTGATCTCCCCATTATTCTTCTTTTAAAAAAAGTCCTGAATAATTTATCTTTCTTTAAAACATAATTATGTAATAACTCAACTATATGAAAATGTATAAAGAAAAATACGATGAACACTCAGTTTAAAAATTAAATGCTGCTAGTAAGTTGAAGCTCCTGGATTACATTCCTCTTTTCCACTAGTAATAACTATTCTGACTCTGGTGTTTATTTAGCATTCCATGAGCTTATAATACTTTTAACTTCTCTCTCTATTTATCCCTATAATTATATGCAGTCTTGTAATTCATGTTTAAAATGTGCTTATTTGTTATAAGAAATATGCACATTCCTAAAGAAACCAACAGGTCAACTAGTCTACCCAGGTGTGATGATTAATTTTATGTGTCAACTTGGCTGGGCCATGTGCCTGGGTGTTTGGTTAAACATTATTCTGGATGTTTCAGTGAAGATATTTTTGGATGAGATTAACATTTAAATTTGCAAACTTTGAGGAAAACAGTTGGCCTTCTGCAATGTGGGTGGGCCTCATCTAATCAGTTGAAGTTCCGCATAGAACTTGAGATTGACTTAACCCCAAGCAAGAAGGAATTCTTCCAGCAGATGGCCTTTGAACTTGAATGGCAACATCACTCTTCTCTGGGTCTTCAGACTGCCAACGCACCCTGAAGAGTTTGGATTTGCCAGCCTCCATAATTGCATAGGAATTCCTTAAACTCTCTCTCTCTGTCTCTGTCTCTTGATCCTATTTGTTCTGTTTCTCTGGAGAACCCTGATAATATATCAGGCCTCTGGCCTTGGCAGCACCAAGAACTGATGGAAAGTTTAAATTATATTCTCCCCCCTCCATGGCCCCAATATCATAGTCTAAGGAAGAGCTCCCCCTTCACTAAGGGAAGGGGTGAAGCAGAAAGATATCTCGGTTAAGCTTTCAAGAGTAACTGGGAGGAAAAGGATTTTCTTGTTGACCAAATAGTGCTTTGGCACAGGGTTGATCCAGTCTGTAGTCAGCAAAGAAAGGCCTCTCTAGAAGGATCATGTCACAGAGGCAAGGCTCCTGCCACACTTTCAGTGACATTTTTCATGCTCACAGATCCACAGAGCCACAGTTTCACAAATATCTCCTCCTTATACCTGTCTAGTTGGAGGCACCGTGTTAGTTTTCCATTGCTGCTATAACAAATTACCACAAATTTTTATTTTTTATTTTTATTTATTTAAATGTTTAAAACAAATTAGCATAAATTTAGCAGCTTTAAACAACACACAGTTATTATTGCATAGTTCTTTTGGTCAGAAGTCCCAGTGAGGCTCAACTGGGTCTTCAGTTTAGGGTCTCACAAGGCCAAAATTAAGGTGTTGGCTGGCTGCATTCTCACTGGGAGGCTCTGCTTTCAAGCTCATTCGGTTTGTGGGCAGAATGCAATTCCTTGTGGTTGCAGGACTGAGGGCCCCACGTTCCTGCTGGCTGTCAACTGGAGGTGCTTCTCAGCTTCCAGAGGCCATCTGCATTCCTGGATTTGTGGCCCAGACCTCCATCTTCAAAGCCAACAATTGTGTAGCATGTCCTTCTCATGCTCCGCTCCTCTCTGCCTTCCTCTTCTGATTTCAAGGGCTTATGTGACTATGTTGGGTTCTCCTGGATAATGCAGGATAATCTCCCTATTTTAAGAGCAGCTGGTTAGTAAACTTAATTACACCTACAAAGTCCCTTTTGCTCTGCAAGGTAACACAACCATGAGTGTGACACCAGAAGGAGAAGGTCACGGGAGCCAAAATTCTGCCTGCCACAAAAGACCATAGAGGTCGGTTTTCCTAGATGAAAGGACTGGCCTGGTTCAAAAGTATGTTCAGATCTCACCTCTTGGGAGACATCAAATTGCTTTCAATGGACAGTTTTCCCACTTGGAGGAATCAAGGATTGTGGTATCACCATGACGCAGACACAATGTATATTCCAGGCAGTGGGGATGGAACAGAGAATAGAGCAGGGAGTGCCCATCCTGGTGGTAGAGCTGAGCAAACTCACACCAATTGCATGAGGACTCCGAGATGCCCCTGGGAAGGTGTTGGGGGCCATCTCAACCTACCATCAAGACATTACAACAGGAACTCAAGCAGAAACAATGAGTGAGACAGAGAGCAGGAAATGGTGTGGACTTTGGGAAGGCTGTAGGAGAGACCTTCCATTTAGGGGAGGGAAGGATCAGGTGGGATAAAGAAATAGTGAGACAGCTGAGAAAGAGAACGAAGGGAAGAAAGTGATGGACCCAGAGTAAAGGATGTAGGAGACAGAAACTTAAGAGCAGAAAACCTTGTGGCAAGAGGAATATTCTAATTCCAAAGGAAATTGCTGTGAATATTATTTAAATCAAGTTTTTGGATGTTCTGGCAATATCCATAGCCTCCAGCGGTCCGAGGTAGGGGTAGGGGGCGAGGCTCATAGCAGACCTGCAGTGCACCCTTGTCTTCCCCCACAGAGGCTGTGGAAGTTTCCAGCATCTCATGGCTTCTTCTCCACTCTCTTCTCTGCCTGACAGATTCCTCCGCACTCTGGGAGCTGGCTGGGCTGCAGGCAGAGGACTTGGGAATTCCCAGCAGTCATTGCCCCCAGGAACACCCCAACCAGTGGGGATGGGAGCAAGCATAGGGACGCTGTCACCTTGCCCCTTGGAGGCCAGTGCTTAATGGTAGGGGACAGTTTTTCAGAGTTTCCCGTGGGATGGAGCCCCAGATGGCCTTTCCCTTGGGACTGGGTCATTTGCTGGCATTTCTCCCTCCCGTCTCACCCTCTTTGTCACATTTGTGTCTTGGTCCATCTCACAAGTAAATCACCTGTCTCCAGGTCCTTGCCCCAGTCCTTGTAGGGGAGTTAGAACCCCACCTCTACCTATCTTAGGTTTTTGGTTGGGGCTCTTTAACAAAGAGATTAGCAAGAGGAAAACAGTTTATGGACTCCTGCAGCACACACCATGTGGGAAAAACCTCTATAAAAAGTAACCCAAAGCTGTGGCTTAGAACCCTGGTTTATTAGCATCTTCAACAAAGAACAAAAATCTGCAGAGAAATGACTGGATGGAGGAAAGCAGTTTTAGGCTCCCAAGGGGGCTTGCCGTAGGAAGGTAAATATATGGGAGGCCACTGACGGGGTAAGTTTGTTTGCAGATTCCTCTAGTGCTGGTAAGTCCATCTCCAGTACACGGAGAATTCATATCTGGGACAGAAAGCTTTTCCCATTTGCAGCTTCCTAGTTGCTTTCAGCTTAAAATAAATTTTATGTTAAAGAGGCATATTTGGGGTGACATAGGTGGTTTCTTTCACCTGCCTCTGGGGGACCCTGAACTAGCACGGGGCCATGGGTCTCCCCTACTCCCCACAAAACCTCTCGTATTATAAGCAGATCTTAGAATGAATCCAGGGCGGGTCACAGAAATCCAGGGAGGGGGCTCTGTATACCAGTTCGGTAACTTTGGCTTTTACTCGGAGCAAGGTGGGAAAACTTGGAGGGTTTTAAGCAAAGGCGTGACAAAAGACACATCTTAAAGGATCATTCTAGCTCCAGGCAGAGACGTTAAGTAGGCAACACATGTTCAAATAAGCTCAGGTGGGAGAGCCGGCTAGGTGATAGGCTTTGAGAATCCTCAGCTCCTAGATGGTATCGGACAGAAGCTGTGAGGCTGGGTGAGATCTTGGAGAAATGAGCATAGTCAGGAAAGGGAAGAAGTCCAAGAATTAAACCCTGGGGCATGTCCTCATTTATGGGGAGGAACCAGCAAGGGACTGGGGAAAAGCAGCACTCGAGGTAGGAGGAATCCAGGAGAGGGTTAAGTCTTGGAAGTCCAGCACAAAACTTGTGTAAACAGCCGGGGGG